TTTTCCTACCCAAGCAATTTGCATATATTACGTATGTACACATAATTTTTTATGCAGACGTGGTTAAGAGTAACCCTTTTACCAGATCAATGTTGTGCACAAATACAATTATGAAAGTTTTCCTCCTGTCGTTAAGCAAACTGGTAAAGAATAAAAGTGTGATGTCAGACACTTATTCCATCCCACGTAAGGTGAACACAGAAGAGGATTTTTCACGCATCCCTCGTGTGGGTTGTACAGTGGAAAGCGCTGAAAAGGTACCATTCTGCGTAATGGCTTCTTCTACTCCGCTGAGAGTATGCCTAAACGGGTTGTAGCCCATTTTTTACTTATTGCTTGAATTCTGGAAGCATAAAATTTGAGTTGCTTTTTCTGCCATTTGATTCAACCTACAATGAGCTCAACTTGGAACCGCGCAAGTATACAGCATGCAGAGCACCCTAAACTAGCTAAGACCGCACCGTGTTAATAAGGATGACGACATGTTTTTCTACCCCATTGTAATATTCGCATTTCGTTTGTCCGCAGAAAAAACATGTCGGGGTGCCCCCACCCACCCACTGCGTAGGACCATGGTTTGACTGCACATTTGCAATTGACAAAAAAAAAAAAAAAAAAAATGCAGAAATACATAAATACGTATGGAGTATATGGCAAATCGATACACATATGAATGTAATCGTTTGCTCTCTTCTTCAATGACGAGCGAGCGGTGAAGCTGGAACAATTTTTAAAACTTAACTTTATTATGGCGCCCATGTCGCGGAACAGCAACGTACGCGCAACGCCTAGGAACCCTTTTATTTTAAAAGTTTTCCATTAAATGGTTTACCAATCATCCTTGTCACGTGGTTATCCAACGTACGTATATTTTCAAAATGCGTCCGCAGCAAAAAAGTAAAAACGAATTTCCCTTACCATATATCCTTAACTTTTTTTTTTACAACGTGATGATAAATGAAAACGGCGATGCTTTTACTTGTAAGTCCTTTTTAGCTATGTGAAAGGGGCTACATGAAGCGAAATGAGCGTCAAAAGCGAGTAGTTTTCAATCTGATAAAATGAGGAAATGGAAATGGGAGGTTAACAAAAGGGGTCTTCGACTTTGTCGCAAGTGCTGTTGGCATGCGTGCAGCCGCTCTGTTACGTTTCCAATGTGCATGTCCATACGCCTTTAGAGGACACATCCAAACACGTGACATCATTTCTGAGAAGTATGCGTAATGTGATGGTGGACAATACACCAACATTTTACGCCGCTCGGTTTTTCTTTTTCCATCTTTAATGTAACAGCTTAACATTTCCTCATGTGTGGATGTATCTTTAAAGCTACATATGACTAACTGGTTTAGGGTCCACTTACAATTTCTGTTGCCCCATAGGGAAAATCCTCCTGAAGCCATCACAAAGGCATGCAAAAGGAGCTAGACGCGTATGATGGATATACACTGTAAATATGAATTGTGCTCTCATATATTTATACGGTTAAAACAGATAACACTGATTCCTCGAAAATGGCAATAACGATCGAGTTTTCGTAAAAAAAAAAAAGAAAGCGGCGTTGTGGTTGCTCTTCACCTGTACACAATCTATGCGCAGACGTTCTTACGACGTATCCATAACAATATCTGCTCTATAAACAATTTTGTGATTATTTAAATGTTGTTTTTTTTCTTTCGGATTGTAAAATTACTTTGTTTGTGCTCCTACCAAAAATATAATGTTTTTTCGCGGCACTTTATATATAAGCTCACCCATTGGGCAACCAAATTGGCTTCCTACACACCAACGAAATGGCATACAAATTTTGTGTGTTCGCACGGAGTATCCTAATGGGCGTCCGTATGCACGCTTCTAAACTTTCGTTGCAACAGTAGCGCCCACACACAAAAAAGAGCAAACAAAACGGTTAAAGGGAAAGGCGAAAAAGAAATGTAGATTCTTAAATGTCTATACGTTTGGGTAAAAAAAAAAAAAAAAGAAAAAGAAAAAGCGTAACTGGGTTTTTCCAAAGTGTATAACCCCTAAACCATTTCGACCAACTAAGGAAGAGAGGCGTGACAAAATCTGAGCAAAGCTTTGTAGCACCTACTGTGTAGTATGTAATGTGTAGAGCGCAATGTGTGATGCGTAGTACACGATGCATGTTGCGTTGTGAGAATCGACGGGCACTCTCCTGCAGATTCACCGACACGCACATTCAAACGAGTTCAAATAACATGTTAGCGCTTTTTTCTGATTCAAATAAAAAGTGCAGGAGAAGAACTTTCTTCACACTTTTGCTAGGAGCATTGCTCACGTTTTTTTTTTTTTGCCAGTGGAGATTTCCTTCCAAAGAGTGCTTACGTATTGCTAAGCGCTTGTACTGGTTCCCAGCTTGGGAAAAAAATTATCTCCAATAATTAGGGGCTTCTTAGGGTGAGGGCTCTACCATAAAGGAGAACGCAAAAATTCTCCAGCCCCGTGAACACACAGTTGAGGGGTTCCCTCAGAACGGTGTTGACGCTACGAGGGCTACCACAACGGCGGAGTGGCACGAGCCTAACTCGTTGAAATAAACCAGGTGTGGGGACCCTATTGGCTGTACACCATCACACGGCCGCGTGAACACACCACTGCGTGACCTTATCACCGCTTCAGCCACGAACGAAATGGAGAACGGGCTGCTGAAAGGTGGGTCCCCCTTCAAGCGAAAGCACCAGCACACGAATGAGCATGCACAGTATGAAATGCCCAAGAGTAGGCTCCTCCACCTGATAACGCGAATTGGAATATCGATCATAAGCATCCTGGTAATTACCCTTTTCGTAAAAAGCAACAGTAACAGTAATATCATTATATATAGCAAGAGCACGCCGGAGTTTCCCATCATGGCCATAGACGATACGACAAGCGAGCTGTTTAACTCCTGTGGTTTCCCCCCCAACAGCAAAGAGCTGGTGTACAGCAGTTTAGAAAAATGGGGATTTCACTTGTCCGATATCGCAGACCCAGAAGTGAACAAAAATTATAAAGAAGCCGATTTGGACAATTACAAGTATTCAAAAAAAACGTACAAAAATATTTTGTTTTCTTTCTTTGAAAAAAGGGAAAGTAGTCAAATAGAAAAAAATTCCCTGTTGTACAAATACCTGCAAATACTTCAAACGAAGGAAATAAATAGCTTTTATGATTTTCTGCACAATTTTTTGGTGCTGCAAGATTTAAATTGTTTGCCTGTTAATTACAAAGGGACATACATAAATGGGAAGCTGTTCTTGTCTAATCATATGCAGGAAATATTCAAAGCGGAATTAACCGATGTGCACACGCTAATCAATGAGGGGCCATACCTATATGTAACATTTCATGGAGGAAGGAAAAAAAACTCCATTCATAATATCTGTAAATTCTCCAGGGATGGTTATTACCTAGGATCTGTACTGCTACCTTTTGAAGAAAAAGGGAAATTCTTTAACTCCGTAAGCCTAAGGGGATTGCTACTTCATCAAAATGGCGTGTATGTTACGGACTCATTTAAAGAAAACTCCAAAATATTTTATTTTAGTGAAAGTATCAAGGAGCTATCAAATAGGAGGGCTTATGTCTCCACCTTTATCGAACAAGACCCACAGAGTAACCCACTCATGATACACCCTTATGGCATTAAAAAAAATGATCAGTACTTATACATAAGTTCCCAGAACACGAGCACTGTATTACGCTTCGACGCTAACAGCGGAGAACTGGGTCAGCCAATAAATTTGTATAAAGACATTTCAAACGGACTAGTTATAAAGCTTAATAAAAATGAAGAAATCCGTGGCCTCGATTTCGATTCCATGGGGAGATGCTACGTTTCGAATAAACAATCTGGGGTTCAAGTATATGACCAGAATTTTAATTTAGTAAAAATTATTCCTGTTTTTTCTCCAATTTCAATTTTATATCACAAAGAAAGTAATCACATATTTGTCGGTAGCTCCAAAACGCATGATATTAAAGAATATGACGTTAACAATTTTGAGCTAATTAAAGTGATCAAGCACCCCCTTCTTCGACACGTGGCGGGTATCATCATTCACGAGGATTCCCTCTTTGCTGTCTCACAGAGGAAGAACAAACTGCTTGAGTTTTCCATTTCGACGACGCTCCTCAAGAAGGTCCTCGTGGACGACTTCGCCGATGTAGGGGAGCGCGTCATACTATCGCCCACTTGATGGCCCACCCCCAATGCGGGTGTGTTGATGGCCAGTGCCTGTTGGGGGCATCTTCATCTGTGTGCACTAGGTAACTATACATGTAAAATACACGTATGTATGTACCTTTGTGCAACCTTTCTACATGCATAGTTGAGAGTGCCCTTGTAAAAATGTCCACCTCTTCGACGTTTCTCCTCTCTCCCAGTTTTTTTCCCCCCCCCCCCCCCCCTTTTTTTCTAAACAACTTGACTATTTAAAAAAAAAAAAAAAGAACGCAACGCGTAATGGCATAAAAGACATCCCCATTTTTACAACCTCAAATGGGTTGCCAAACGGTTTGGAAGCAGACTGTGTAAAGGACCATCCATGATACCCTCTTTTTTCCCATTTTACGCTGAATTCACGCGCATAATGGAGAAGGGGCACATCCGGTGTGTGTGTGCCGCATACGGTGAATACATGCACATTCAACACATTGTATTTCGGTGCCCAGTAATCCTCGCGTAAATACATATGCGTCGAATTTTTTTGGCGATTTTTTTTTCCTTTTTAGCCCTCCTTAAAGTGCACCGATGTGAGACATTCCCACCGGGGACACAAAATCACTGTTTGCATCGCGCCACGACTTTGTTATAGCCAGAATGGGTTTGCTTTCAAGCCGCCGGCCCTACCCATTTAAATCGTGCTTCCCCTTCGGTGAGCCCAGCTTGACATAACATGAAGTGGCTACCCATCTTCCCGTTTTTTCCCGCGTGTTGCATCTCCCCCAGCAGCATGATGCGCGAGCTTTGCTACGTACGCAGCTTGGGCCTATCCCCGATGAAGCCGAAAAAAAGCGCATTCAAATTGACACATACGGGAGGGACACGCCTCTTCTACTCTAGCAGCGAGGTGAGTAACTTTTACGGCATTAAGGAAAGCGGATTCAGCAACAGCCGACCGCCCCCGTACTTACTCCGCTTTGACAAGTGTAATGATATCATAGCATACACAAGCGAAATAGATAATGAATCATTGAAACAAATAAAAAACCTAGCCATGCTCGACATCATAAAAGGACATGTGACAATCCTCCCAGATGTACACCTAGGAAAAGGAATCATAATTGGCTCTGTATTTTTAACGAACCATTTTATTATCCCCAACGGGGTCGGAGTTGACATAGGATGTGGCGTTTTGTGTGTTAAAATTAACAAGTTAAAAAAAAAAGACCTCCATGAGGATGTCATAAATAATATATACAAGAAGATAAAGCGGAACATTCCTTTAAGTTTCGATTATCATGAGAAGGAAGTGTTTGATGCAAAAAATGTGCTAGACGGGTTGGTGTCCAAGTATGCTAGCAGCAACATGGCTCATATAATGAGGCCTAAACATTTGAAGCAAATGGGGACGCTAGGCGGCGGGAACCATTTTATCGAAATTGCATATGACGCATCAGATGATAAGAACGAGGAACCGCCAAATGGTAACCTATCAGGAGACACCAATCAGGATGGCACTGCACGCAGCTACAGATGCGAACAAAACCATTCCCCAGAATCTGATATTTACATTTTAATACACTCCGGCAGTAGAAATATCGGCAAGAGGACAGCTGAATTTTATGATGACTTGGCTAGCCAAGAAAGCAAAGTAAAAAGAAACGATTTAGCCTATCTAGACTTGAGAAAAAAACAGGGACAAAATTATCTACAGGATATGCAATTATGTCAGGAGTATGCAAAATATAATAGAATCTACATGATGAAAATTATTGAAAAAATTATCAACGAAGAAGTTAATTGCACACTTGATTGGCCAAATGCCATAAATATACATCACAATTTCTGCAGCCACGAATTGGTAACCTATCTCCACAATGGGGAAGTAAAAACGGAACACATGTATGTAACAAGGAAAGGCGCAACCTCATCCAAGAAAAATCAATTAGGCATCATCCCGGGAAATATGAAGGCCGGTTCTTATATCGTCCGAGGAAAGGGCAGCAAGCTATCCTACAATTCCTGCTCGCACGGTTGTGGCAGGGTGCTGAGCAGAACGCATGCAAAAAAAATAATTAATCAAGCAGACTTTGTAAACATCATGAGGGGCGTACGATGTGACACCAATGCCAAAATTCGCGATGAGGCTCCTCAGGCGTATAAAAATTTGAATCAGGTTTTGCGAAACCAAGATTCGCTTATACATGTCGTTCGCTGTCTTCTGCCCCTGATTAATGTCAAGGGGGGTTAGTCGCGCCCCTGGGGGTGCGGAGCAGCGAGGGTATGCAACGAGTGGGATCTGAATGGGTACCCCTATGACGGGTGCTTTCGCAATGCTGCCGAGCCTCTTTTGCCATAGTAACGCATATGTGCGCGCTTTGGCACAAAAAGCAATGCCTACAAAGCGTGCAGATACATGCTCTATGCACACGTACCACATAAGTGTGTAACTTTTTTTTGTCAGCATTTGACGCTATAATTAGGTTTGTTCCTTTTAATATCGTGTTTTATAACGACCCCGTTTATTTTATTTTTATTTTATTAATTCCTACTTTGTTTTTTTATGTCCCCCTTTAAATATCAGCCCCATTCGTTTATTTACTTGGTGACGCTTGGAACAAGGCGGAAGCTTTTTTCGTTGGGGATATTTTGAAGAACTTCCCCCAAGCAAGTATCCAACATGGTCATATTCGCCCCTTTTTTAAGAAGCAACATGTGTTATATTTGTCCTTTTTTCATTTATTTTTTTTTCTGTTCTTTTTGATGTCTTTGTAACCCTCTACAATTCGCCTCCATTCTTAGTTCACCTTTTTTATAAACAGCGCGTGGCGCCTGTTGTTCTCCATTTCGTGTCACATCAGAAAAAAAAAAAAAAAAAAAGGTAAAACGAGAAATGTGCGAAACAATTCGTTAAGTAAAATTGCTACAAAATTAAAGAAGAAAAGAAAATTTGTTTGTATACCTCATTGCTTAATTTTTAACATCACATTTGTCCCTTATTAGAACCATTTTTTAAATGCGTTTTTATTCTGAGCTGCACACAAAAGCCAACCCGGATGCCTAATGTGACATATACAATTTTTCTGAATGGAAAAAAAAAAATAATAAAATAAAATACTTTTGATTCCGCAGGGGAAGCATAAAAAATAGCGGCGTCAAGAACGGCATAGGAAAAATGTATTAACATAGTAACTTCTCAGCATAGTAACATTTTTGTGCATCCTCAGATAAACTTATAAATGACCACGTAGGTAGGTACACGTGCGTGTATGTTTTTGTAACCATCACAGCCCCTAGCATCAGATTAAAATGCCAAGGCGCGAGGAAAATGCTTAGGTGCTCATAAAGCGATGATGCGGAAGAAATGAAATCAGGGCTAGGACTAAAATGAAAAAACCCAAAAGAGCTAGAGGCCTAAAGCGACAAAGAAAAGCAACCGCACCAAGCAGAGTACAACCCAGGGAAGGAAAAATATACGGGTTGCAAGTTGCGCGGGGGATGAACTAAGCTGAAAAATGTAAGAAGCTGAGAAAACTGATAAACTGATGTATTGAATTGAACAACAAACAAAACCAAGGAACAAATCGAAAAATAAAATCCGCATGTTGAACTAAGCTTTTTACATCTGTGCGTATTTACAACAAAAAATAAATATATTAAAATTATAGAACATAGGAACTGTCACAGTTACAAATGCAAATAGGCAAGAAAAAAAAAAATATATATATATATATATATAATATGACCCATGCATGCGTAAATAGATACAAATAAGTATACTCCGTTTGTATAACCGCAAGAACAACTTCAAACAAGGAACGGGGTAATCTAATGCTAGAAAAATGAGCACCCGATAGATCATGCGCAACTACTTTAGATGCAGTAGTGGAGTAGTCCCAACCTCTTTCGCAGTAGTCAAAACTGGGAGTTCACTAGAAGAATGGAGTCGACTGGTTTGGGCAAAACGTATTCATTTATTCTACCGCACTTGCATATACACGCACCTGTAGGTATATACCTCTAGAGTTATATATGTTATTTTATATGCCCTCACATGCACGAACCCAAAATATTATAGTAGTGGACCCCGTTGTTTCTGGCATCGCCTTTTACGCGCGCATAGATATATAATGGTAACCACAAATAAAATTGAAAAGAAATATTAGGAAGATATGATACATAGCATATTTCTTTGAACATTACGTGAGAAGTCTTTTTACTGCGCGCACGCATGGCGCAAGAAAGTAAAAACAAAATAAAAAAAAATTGTCATCTAGAAAGTTAGAGTTATGTCATAGGCGCATGTCAGCCCTGTAAGGAGTATACATAATGCCCTGGCAGGAGTAACAACTAATCTAAGTGCGCCCCCTCGTGGAACTGCGCGCCCAAGTTGTTCGCACAATACTAACGTGCAACCGTACGTACAAAAAATCTGATAATACAAAATTCAGTTCAAATAGGGCCAACAGGGAGGACCCTACTCTCCCCCAAAAAGTTTTTACATCCAACTCTGCAACAAAACAGAACGAGGAGGAAGAAATTTTCCCTACTTTTCATCAGAGATCATTACTAATGCCTGAGCACAGCTCACGTGCATATTTACGTGTGACATGCTGGCGAATGAAGCCTATCTCCACAAAAATGAGCTGCAGTCCCGCAACTTTTCCTGAAGAGAACAGAAAAGAAAAACGAGCACTGAAGAAATGGCGGGCGATGTCATCGATTTCGTCTTCACCCTCATACTAGATACAGAAATATATTTTTGCGTATTCGTGTTATTAACCTATTTAACAACTAGGAAAATAAATAAAATAATTCAATCCAATTTTTACCAAAAAGACGCACTCCTAAATAGACTATCGAAGAATTTCTACATAACAGATGTGAAGGCCTACTTTAGCCCCCTGAAATATATGCGTAAGAGTGCACTGTATCACACGTATTATTTGTCGTCCGTTCTGGTTTTAATTTATTTATTCAGACTGTATTCTTCCTACAAACGATGGATTAAATTTTACTTTTTTTCCCTATTGAATATTTCTACCGACCCCTCCGCACTATCTGATCATGATGATTTTGATGCCCACTACGATGGAAAATCGAGTCATTTTGGCATTGGCCACTTGGTTGCCTTCCTCTTGGGCATCATTATTTCGTTCATATATTATAAGTACCTTTGTAAAATATTTAAAGGGAAGCACAAATATGTAAAGGTGCACAAGTCCAGTTTGCTGCCCCAGTGTTTTGATCTAGCCAAAACAAATTTCAGGGAATACGTAAAAGTGAAACCAAAGAAGGGATCAAAATTTAAGTTCCATTTGGACACCAACATTAAGGCGCATCCCACATTAAGTAGCGGGCCTGCTGCCACCGGAAATGGAAAAAGCGGAAACGGCAGTGGTGCTGGTACCAGCGCCCCCACCCCAGTTACTCCAAAGACAAAGAGAAACATCCTGTTCCGTATGTTCGACATCGGGTACCTTAAGAACCACGTCCTCTATGATGAGAATGTACTCTACGAAGATCAACTGAAGAACAAGGGACAGACCGACCAGAAGAACAAACGACAGTTATGGTTACTGTTTATCAAGTTAATGGAGAAGCTCCTAGTAGCGATCATCAATTTAATTAATATAATAATAAACGAGATTGGAAAGGGTGCTTCCGGAAAAACGGCTCAACCTCCTGCTGGTCAAGCTGCCACTAGTCAAGCTGCTACTGGTCAGGAGGGGCCACAGACCGCCGCTGCAGGGGGTGAAACTGCGCAGGAAGGGATGAAACAAACGGTGGATGGAGAAGCCACTATGGAGGAGAATAAACCAGAAGAGGAAGAACCCACTACAGGAGTCAATCAGCCAGAGGAAGATGAACACACTACGGAGGAGAAACAACTAGAGGGGGAAAATGGCACTACGGAGGAGAAACAATTAGAGGAGGAAAAAGCTATTACGGAGGAGAAAGAAACACAGGAGGAAGAAGCCATTACAGAGGAGAAACAACAAGAGGGGGAATCCCCTGAAGCGGAGACCATACCGACCCACGTAGAATCCCCTACAGAGGGACAATCAAGCGAAACCCCTCCACAGGAGCAGAGGCAGGAAAAAGACAGCCAAAGTATTATGACACAGATAAAGGAAGAAGCAATGAAAAGTAGTGACATGGAGTACAATGACATAAATCTGTGCGAACTGGATTTAAACCCACACGATCAATTCGTGTGCAACTCCCATTACCATTTTAAGAGCATCGTAGAAGTGCTCATGCTACACATGCCCATGTATTTCCTATTCAAAAATAAGTTCTACGCAAAAGCATTATTCACAATAGCCATGTATATTTGGAATTACTTAGTCTGGAACTTCATAACCCTCCTAGCCATGATCAAGCCGTCACTGTTCGTGTACTACTACGTACTGAATGAACACATAAATCATATCCTATTAAAGAACATCAATGAACACGAGAAAAATATAATTTTGCACTTCTTCTACGGATTCTTTGTTGCCTCACTAATATATTTAAAATTTCATTTCAGCTTGGAGTTTAAGTTGATAAAAGTAGACCACATGAACCACTTCCATAGAATGATTAACGGATGCATAGTACAGGCACACAAATTGAAGTCGACCGGAATAATTAAAAATTTTGAAGCCATGAAAATTTTCCCTTTATGTATTGACTATAAGAAAAAAGGGATCTTCATAGACAGAGGACTGCTGCGAACAGCTGCGGAACTCCAACTTGTACTAAAACAAAGAAAATTAAAGAATGTAAAAATATGCTTTCGCAATATTAAGCAAATTGCTAAATATTGTGATGAAGATACTGCTATGGAAATGTTTAAACAACTGAAATTTGTCTTAGTGAATGAATTGCCCAATCAAGTTGCACTAAACCTCTCTCATATGATCTCAGATGAAATGTACAATCAAATTAAAACAAATTGCATCGATCCGTCTTCTTCGACGCAATCCAAGAAACACCCACCTGATTGCTTATGCGAAATGCTGAAAAAAACTGGCCTTCATGATTATATCAAAGCGGCCATGAGTACTGAAAACTGTAAAGCAGAAAACGAACCCGCGGATCGTGGCCAAGCTTATGTAGATACGTCCGACAAGGCAGATGCAAAAAATGACAAATTGGACGAGCAAGGAGAGGATCCCGTGAAAAAAAAAAAAGGGTCCCAATCTTGGAGGGTAGTCCAAATGTTCGACATCGGGAAGCACCATCAGAAGGAGCAAAAAAAATAAGGACACATAGACCCCAAATAAGTCTACATGCCATTGGAAAAAACGCTGCTGAAGCAAAGAGTGGATGATCCTTATTGAAACACTAAAAAAAAATAAAAAAACAAATTACGAAAAAAAAAAAAAAAAGGGGGGGTTTGCGCATGCCTTCCAAGTCCCTGTGAATATATGCGCGGCCCCACCGTTATTCGCTGTGTGGTGCGTAAGTATGTATGCTTCCCTCTTGGTACGCATACATGCTCGCACGTCGTACCAACGCTGGTTCGGGTTGGACCCAGCTGGCGAACAACCGGCCGCTGCTTTTCCGACAATCCCCCAAACCACGCGTAAGTGTACTCCCTATTTACTTAAACATTTTTTTGAACTTGGTCAATTTTTCTTTATTTGAAGAATATCCATTACGGATTCTGTTTATGTTAATAATTTTCTTCTTTTATTTTTTTCTTCCGATTTAATAACTTGTTTTCCCTTACTATTTTTAAATAACCCCAAATTTTTTTTGAGTACATACCACGTAGGTTGGCCGTTGGCCGTGTGCAAGGTTCTGCCCAAATGGTGCGGATGTTCCAGCGGGTTCCAATCCCAAGGCGTAACATTTCAACCTGTAGCAGAACAACTACCTCCAGCACAAATAGCTCCAACAAAAATGCCCTCAAAAGGGATGCCGGTTCCACTTGGTCTTGTCTGGCTTCTTGTTCAAAAACTTGAAGGGGTTTTTCTCCGGGACGTAGCGATATTTATAATTCTCGTATAGCTCCGAGTGCGTGTAGTACACTGGCAACAGTTCGTCCTTGTCCTCCGTCACAGCCGTTTGCTTCTTCAACCAGTTGTCAAAAATGTGCACACCTTCATCCCAGTCATATTTGTACTCATGGTTCTCCTTCCCACCCTCGGTCTTCTTATTTTTATATTTGTTACTAATTGAGTAAAACTTTTTAAAGTCTTCCTCCAAATCATACGTGTCGTCAAAAATACCCACCCCAATATAAATATTCCCTGCAGGCCCTAAAATTACGTAATCCTTATTGTTTTCAATATTTCTTAAATTTTCCTTCGTCTTTAATAAGCATTTGCACAAATTTAGGGAAGCCGCAACGTAGTCAGCTGATTCTTTGTAAAAGGGTTGCGTGTGTAGATAATTATATTCGCTAAATGCAAAGAGGAATATTTTAACAGGAAGGTACGAACCCGGCCTCATTACTAATTTCAAAGAGCAGAAACCATCAATCGAATTGTTTGTTCCATCGGGATAAAACCATAACTGAAGAGAGTCAAATCCACCGAGGTTAAAAATATCTGACTTGATGGGCTGTCCTAACCTCTTTGGGTATTGTTTGCATAACATGGGGATGAAATTTATGGGCCAAATGAAATTCATACCTACGGATACATTTGCTGGATACGTTTCTGCGGACCCAATAAATTGCACATCAAAATAATTGTTCTGAACTTTCTCTAGGCTTCCAAAACCTGTATTGTTATTGGTCCTTTGGTAATAATTGTTGGAATAATAATTTTCTTCTAATTTTTCCTGGTCAGTAGAATCAAGCAGATCTTTAACCGTATCATCGTAATATTTCCAATTTCCTCTCTTAATATCATTTTCCATTTTCATATTCCACCTCCTTTTTTGTTTAATCCCACTGTCCTTCTTCTTCTGCTCTTCTCTTTTTCTTCCTGTTCGTAAAAACACATTGGATGGGTTTATATATCCTGGAGACTCTGAGTCATACTCGCTTTTCTCGTCCAGCTCTTTTATGTCTTCTCCATGATTTAGGTATATATACCCTGGGTAGTCCCTATCGTATAGTATTTCTCCTAATTGGGAATCCATATGATGATGCTTTCCAACTTTTTTGTACCTTTCTATTTTTTCCTCTGTCGTCAATTTTTTTCCATTGTTCTCCTCCACGCTGCTGCTTTTACGGGGGCTCTGCTCCCCCTCACGGATGATGGAGATCACGTTCTTTTCGAAATCGGGCACGTCCTCCCCTTTGTCCTCCCCAGCGCGGACGTTACCACGCACATCAGTGGCCGCTCTATATAGCGCTTTATTATTTGATGCATTGCGGAGATTTCCATCTGAACCACCGTGCCCGTCGCTCTTCCGCCGATTCGACTCCACAAACTCGTCGTACTCTGAATTATCGAACGGAGTTGCAATTTGGGGCGAAATCTTCACCTTCCTGTTGTCGGCAAATCCCAGGAAGTCCTTCCCATCAATCATCAGAAGAGGTAGTCCTTCATACACAGAAATGTCCTTAGGGTCAACTCCATCAAATGACTCCTCTGGTTCACCACTCCCTCCTTTCGATTCGTCGGATTCTTCCTCCTTCTTATAGTCAGATAATCTTTTGTACAAATCGGGACTAATTTCTTGTAAATTTTCTACTTCTTCTAGATCAAGACAGTCATCATCATATTTGCCCGTGGCCTTTTTCTTCCCATCCTCTGGAAACAAGTTCTTAAATTGTTTGGGGTTAAAGAACATACTTTCAGCGAACAGTTTTTTTTCATATCGTTTTTTTTTTTTTTCATTGTAGCCTTTGTTTCCTTTTAGCAAGTGCGTCCGCAGGGTTTCCCCCCCCGCACGGCTCCCATTTCCTTTCGCGTGTCTTGGCAAAAACTCGTTCTTTGTCAAACCAGACGGATAGGCATACGCATAAGTATAGGTGTGCAGGTGTGCACTTTTAACATGACTCTGTGGACGCCTGCTACTTCCCCGGTAGGTGTTATGCGCGGGACAAATGCTTTGGCCACTTTTGCTGCCCGTGAAAAGGCACAAGCCGTTTTGTAAAAGCACGTAAGCTATCGCAGCGACATTCAGTAGGGCGCGAACGGGAGGCATTATTTCAGGCTGCGGAAATGCGTTTCAGTTCGCTTAGCGCTCCTCATCTTTGAGTATGGAAGTTGCAAAAGCGCAAAGGAGGCGCGTATTGAAGTGGTACAGAAGTTGATTTGGTACAAACGTTGAAAACATTCAAACGTTGAAACGGTACAAATACTACAAATGGTGCACAGCGGTACGGTACTGTTTATTCCTCTCAATTTTGCTCACCCGTTTGCTATTTTTTTTTTTTCATTTTTTGAGAATGGGCAAAATTCTTAATGCGTCACGGATACGTACACATCGCGCAAGTGTGAACTAAAACTCGCTGGAACTCTACCCATTTCGACTCCTTGCTCACACCTAGTTCAGATGGCGGCGCGGAGAGCAGTCCCAGAAATGCAAACGGCGGAAGGAAAAGTGAACCTCCTCTTTTCCTCAAACGAGAACGATATATCACCTGCCAAATTACAGTCAAAATGACACAAATGTGACAACAAAAAAATAAAGTGAAAAAAAAAAAAAAAAAAAAAAAGAGCAGATCGGGGCATGCCGTAACATGCTGCTACACAGCTTGACATATGGAAATGGAAAGCAACAATTATCGGGCAGGGGGGCGACTTGGCTTGTTCACTTTTTCTTCTTGGAAATTT